TTCTGTTACTGTTGGTTTCTTCTTATACACCCATTTGCAACCAATAGGCTTCTTACCCTCAGGAAGGCGAACTAACTGCCATGTACGATTGTGATTCAAAGACTCCATCTCCTCAACCATGGCAGCCATCCACTTGTCGTTTTCCTGACTAGTAACAACATCATGAAAAGTAACCGGATCATCACTACTAATAGTAAGTGCAAAAGAGACCAAGTCTTCAAACCCTAATCTGTTCGAAGGCTTTATATTCGTCCGTCTCACCCTGTCTCTAACGAGACTATAATCCTGCAAAACATTCGTAGCGGAACCACCAAAGTCAGTTGAGAAGTTTCTATTTTCTCAACTGGAAACTACTCGAAATCCACTATTGTCGTGTCTTTCTTCTGATGCAACATGGGTTGTTCATCAAAAACAACATCTCTACTTATCACAATTTTCTTCGCAACTGGATCCCATAACTTGAATCCTTTGACACCTTTCTTGTAACCCATAAAAATGCACTCCTTCGATTTTGCATCAAGTTTGGATCTCTCATCAGCAAGTACATGCACATAAGCTGGACAACCAAAAATCCGTAAGTGACCAAAAGTAACATCATGACCAGTCCATACCTCTTCTATAACTTTCCCAGCCAATGATGCCCTTGGCGATCTATTGATAATATAACACGCCATTTTAATTGCCTCGGCCCAGAAGTGTTTGGGAAGCCTTGCATTCAAATGCAAACTTCTAGCTTTTTCATTCAACGACCTGTTCATCTGTTCCGCAACATTCTGTTATGGTGTCTTGCGCACTGTAAAATCCCTCTTAATCCCATGCTCTTTACAGAAGTTTAGAAACTGTGAATCTGTGTACTTCGTACCATTTTCAGACCGCAAACACTTGATTTTTCGTCCTGTTTGGTTTTCTACCTCAGCTTTCCATAGCTTGAACTTCTCAAAAACGTCAGATTTCTGTTTCAAAAAATACACCTAAACTTTTCGTGAAAAATCGTCAATAAAAGTAACATAATACCTAGATCTACCCAAAGATGATGTCGTGGAAGGCCCCATACATCAGAATGCACATAATCAATGATCTCTTCAACTGTGTGCTTCTCAGTCTTGAAACGAACTTTAGTCTGTTTACCAAGAACATAATACTTGCAAAAATCGAGCTTACAGCTTTTAACACCATGCAACATATTTCTTTTATGTAATTCAACCATACCACGTTCACTAATATGAGCAAGACGCATATGCCACAGTTTGGTAGTATTATCACATGACTCAACAAAATGAACTCCACCTACAACAGTACTCCCTAACAATCTGTAAATATTCTCTGCAGTCATATTCCTTTAATCACAGTTAAAGCTCCTTTAATAATTCGAATGGTTTCCCTATCCTCATCAGCCTTAGGGATAAAACCATTCTTGTGCAAAGTGCCTAAAGAAATCAAATTCTTCTTCAAATCTGGGATATATCGAACACCACACAACGTCCGAACAGAGCCATCATACATCTTAATTCTGACATCACCAATACCAACAATATTGCAACATCGATCATCACCCAAATAAACAGAACCAGAATTAACCAACCTGTATGTCGAAAACCATTCCCTATTTGGCTTGATGTGATAAGAACATCCAGAATCAAGAATCCAAGCATCCGTCAATTGAGTCGTTGAAATAGAGAGCACATCACTTTCACTGCAATCAGAATTGTCATCCTCGACCACATTCACATACTTGGATGAGTCATCACGCTTCTCATCAGTCTGCTTTTTCAACTTCAGACAGTCTCGCTTCATATGTCCCGCCTCCTTGCACTTGTAACAGTGAATTGTCTTCTTATCTCTAGATTTAGATCTGAAATTATGCTTCCCAGACCCTGTCTTCTCTGGCTTCCGTCCACGGTATTGATTACCCTTGACATATAAACTAACATCTTTAGAGTTTTCCCCTGCATTCTGCTTCCACTGGTTGTGAGCCAACAAGGCTGCAGTAATCTCCTCAACTTTGATAGTCTCTTTCCCATATGTAAGATTAATCACCATGTGTTTATAAGAGGGAGGCAACTAACACAATAGAATCATCGCTTTGTCTTCATCCTCAATTCTCACATCAAACTGAGCCAAATCAGAAACTATTTGATTGAAGACATTCACGTGTTGCGCCAAATCATGATCATCCTGCATCTTCAGCCCATATAGTTGCTGCTTTAGATACAGTTTAGTCGTTAAGGATTTGGACAAAAACTGACTTTCCAACTTCTTCCAAATTTCATCTGGAGACGACAAATGCATGACGTGATACATGACCTCGTCCGCCAAACATAATCATATGGTTCCTACCGCTCGCTGCTGCAATTCTTCCCAATCTTCATCCTCCATCGACGCCAGCTTTGTAGGTCGCAAAGCCTTCAGGATCCCTTGCTGCGCCAACAGATCCTTCACCCTTATTTTCCATAATCTGAAGTTATCCTGACCATCGAATTTCGCAACTTCGAATTTTGCTCCTGACATCTAATACCGATTGTTGAATAATCGGGTAAAGAAAACAAAAAGAACACAAGAATTTTAACGAGGTTCAGCAATGTGCTTACGTCTCGGTGCCCTAGGCGGCACTAGAATTTTTATTCAATTCAATATCTCATAGGTTTATGTTACATCTCCTTTTATAATAAATAAACCCTGATATATATTTAAAAAAATAACTCTGTACCATACCACGGCGCAGCCCCCGCACCCCCAACCCACATAATCGTAACCCCCACTACGAGACTTTCTCAGTATATTTATTAGCCATATCTAACAAAAAAAAAAGGAACCATTGACCAAACTTTTGCTGCAATATCAAGCTTCCTCTAGACCAACAAAGAAAAAGTAATTGGGGGTTCATTTTCAATTTGGGTAAACTTGGTTTCACCGCAGTAACTGTTGAGCCTGATAAAGCACTTCACCTTGATTTCTCCAACGTGAAGCATGAGTTTCCGTGGCTGTTTGATTGGTTCCTGGATATGGGTAATGGCCGCCCCTACAGATCCTGGCTTTATCATACACCATCAGCATCGTCAGTTAAGGTGATAACTCTTCATCTCAAATCAGTTTCTTCCATAGTATCAAATTGCGGTTGTGAAATTTGTCTCGGTTGCGGATACTGCGGACGTTACCTGATGGATCACGGCTGTTACGAGCGTTATTTCTTCCTCAAAAATCACAATACTTCTAAAAATTTCCTCGCACAACGCAGTAACTTTCAAAACTGCTATGTTGCATTGTGGCCGCAATTTAATATTTTGGTTTCTTCCACTTTCTGTGGTGCAGTTTCTTCCATAATGACCAAGTTCAAGTTTCTTGAGTTTGACGATAGAAAATTGCCATGGCTTACGCTCTTTAAAACTACATCCCGGGCCTAATTCTAGGTTCAAAAAACTAACAATCTAGGACTGCCAACACCTGGAATCCTTCCAACTTGATGCTTATCGCTTGCAGTCGCTTCGATTCCGAGGCAAATTGCTGTCGTTTCAACGAGGTTATGTTATTAGCTTGCCTTTGTTTGATCACTTTGATGAGATTTACCTGGTGGATGTCATGCTTGATTTCAGCCAAGGCTCTCACTGCAGTAAGCTTGGAAGTCGTGGATACCCGGCTTTCTTTAGTGGGCCCAGATAGGTCTGTAAATGAACCTAACGATCACAACAGAGTATGTTCATGTTCGTTCGTTTAACTTTAACCGAACAAATTAACGAACACGAACATAAACGAACTCATTTATTTAAATGATAAACGAACACAATAAATGAACGTAAACGAACGTAATAAACGAACGTAAACGATCATAAATGAAAATAGAATTTTTTTTCTTTCCTAACAATTTTAGGATTATATTTTATTTGGTTGTTTTGAGTTTTTTTATTTGTATTTAAAATTAATTGAATTTTAAAATATTTATGGTTGTTAGATTAAAATTTATTGTGCTTTAATATTTTAAAATAATCTATTGAGATTGGGCTAAACATAAATGAATGCACATAAACGAACAAACATAAATGAATGAACATATTACCGAACGTTCACGAACATAAATAAACAAACGAGTCCTCTGTTCATGTTCATTTATTTAATTAAACGAACACAAAATTATTCATGTTCGTTAAATAATAAATAAACGAACATAAACGAACTTCCCGCTAAATGCTTCATGACCAGGATATAGAATCTCTGACGCTTAGCGGCTGGTGTTTTGAGGTATATGCTTCCGCTGCAATATGTCTGTTTTAGGGTAAATGATTCCAATTCTTATGACTTTCGTTTTCTCTCTGAATTTAGTCACTCATCTGTCCTAGGCTACAAGTACAACCCTTTTGCTGGGGCTTTAGATTCAACCTTCTGATAGAGCTTTGGTGGATTGATTATGCAAAGGACAGTTTCAACAGTGATACCTTATTCTCCTTTTGAACTTCTGCCCTCGACTCGTCAGACTTTATATCACTGTAAGCTTCTTCTTCTTCTTTTCATATTTTAATTCATATATAGAGTTGCAGATATATTACAAGATCTAACTATTCCGAACGAAACTGGTCCTTATAGATTGACCCTAAAAGCTACACAAGGATGAACAGGATGAGTAACTATTCTGAAGGTAGTAAAATTGGAAGATTACCTAATGAAAAACAAGAGATTATGTTGGCAAAGAGGTTTGAAACAGGAATTCCATGTAGAACCGCTAATCATAGCAAACTCAAATTATTAGGGCTGAAGTATGTGTTCAGTCTTTCGAAGGGGAAGAAGAAGAAAAGCAGGGTGAATGTTGAAGTATGATTGCTGGACGTGTGTCAGTTAGAGTGGTTAGAGTTGTCGAGTAACTGCTTTGAGGGTTAACTTTGTGTGTATAAATGAATGTGCAGTAAATGCATTTACTCAGATATCAAGAAATATTTCCTTCCTTTATTCTTTATGTTTTTATCTTCTTCATTCTATTGTTCTAGAAACTCAACAAAACGTATTTCTTGCCCTCAACCTTCATCATGAAGAAAATTCCTTTGTTGATTCTCTCGTGCTATCGATTCACTGTAAAAACAGAGGAGCAGAATTCAAAATCAGATGCGGCACTAGAGAAGAGAGTAAAATAATTGTAAGGTTTTAGTACCGGAGAGCATAAGTGAGTTTGGCTTCCTGGTCGTACTCTTGGTTTTCTCTTGCCCGTAGGATTTGGAACATGAGAGCAAGTCGGATTTGGGTGTTCACACTCTGTTGCATCAGTTGGTTAGTCTCCTTCCGAAGTTGGTCGCACTCCGATTCGAGGGCTTCGAATTTTTCTCTTACGCGTCTTTGCCCCTCTCTGATCTCCTTTTGTTCGACACGGATTCCTACCATATCCGCTTTTAGCTTTCTAATGCATCCATTCAGTTTTCTCAACCTTCTTTTCTGGAACAATACAAGGGCTCCGTTACTTCCTTAGTTTTCTTGATCATAATAAGCAATCAATGGAACGAAACAAGCGACCGAGTACTAAAAAAAATTAAACCCTTTTAAAATAGGTATTAAACTTATTTTTTAATCTAATATTTTTATTTAAATTATTATGGGTTATAATAATTTATAACTTTATAAATTTAGACATGAATAAAGATAACATAACATAATTAATCAGATTATTCAACAGGGAAAAATGCTTTTACTGTATTATTTTCATAAATTTATACGAAAAAATTAATTTTTTTCATAAATACAATATATAAAGGAAAAAAGGGCTTCGTTTTTTAAATACCTGTTTGAGCTTCGCGAGAGCGGTGAGGTGTAGCGGTTTTGGAAAGGCAAAGGATGGACTATATTTCATCCTCCTCCACGCAACCTTTCGATTCATTGTTTGGATGTGTTTGTGCAGTCCAGTTTCCTCCCAAACCCATTTTATACCTAATAATCGCGCGATCTCGTAATCCATTCTCGCACGGTTTTACTTGGTCAAATCATTATTATATTAGAGATGAAAACAGAAATATTGAAAACAGTTCTTTTACTTTTAATTTATTTTTTAATAATTTTATATGATTACAAGATATTATCTATTTATATGATTACAACGTACATATATGATTACTCTAATCTCAGACCTATAGTAAAAGCAATATTTTATTTAACTATTAAGATTATTGGATGAGTTCGTTTTATTAAAAGAAAACAATACGGTTTATTATTTCAACCAATTTTGAAGTCCCTATTACCCAAAGTAATGTATAAGTTTGACCACTTAAGCAAGCTGCCAAGCATCCTCAATCCCACGTAAGAAAAAGGCTGATAAGGAGCGTTCTCGCTTTATTAAACTAAAAACACAAAAAATCATTTATTAGAATAATAATCCCAAACAACATTAATTGAAAAAAATATTCTCTAAATTAGACACATAGGGCTACTTTGCATCTTACAAAGTGTGTCGAGGCCTCACGTTCTATAGGACACAAGACTCATATGCGCACCATGATATCCCCGAGATATTGAAAAGTCTCAGCAATTTATTGAGTCTGGAATTTAACAGTCCTAACGTTCTACAACACGAATTCTATAGATTTATAGGCCAAATCACAAGTGTTTATAGGCACATTTGAATGATATTTTCGAGTAGTTAATATAAAAAAATCTATTCTAATCTAATCTTTAAAGGCTATTTTCAACTCAAAGTTCGTTGGCATTTGTCAAGGAGTCGTGGAACCATGTACCACACTTTCTACTGGATCTCAATGTCGAGAAATAAAAAAAAAGTTATTAAGAAAATTTATAATCAATTTGATATCGATTTTGAATGTTGTAAAATATTTATCCTTCCTCACACATAAGTAATTCTCAAACTCTTTTAAATAAATCTTCGATCATTAGAGATTTTGATGAAAAAATGATTTCAATGACTCAACTGATTACCATTCATAATTCAAAGAATTTAATTTGATACTATTCTCCGTTAGGGGTATACTTATTTTTTTTATAGGAACCTTTTAAGTATTAAGTCTTTAATTTTTAACTTTATTTTAAACTTAATTCTTTAGGGCATAAGAAATTCTCGATCTTTTTCTTTTAAGTCTTAAACTAGACTCCTAATAACAAGTATTCAAAAAAATGAATCATAAGAACAAATAAAACTAAATAAATTTATTTGTAAATTGTTTGTGATACGTTTAATAAGTTATCTAATAAATACATCAAATTTTAAATAGAAAATATCAAAAACTTTTGTTAAACACCCAACTACTCACACTAAACCAACATGATCCTCTTTTAAAAGGGTACATGTTAGATTTTAGTCTTCTTAATTGTATATAAATTTATAATTTTAGGCCCTGAGCAAGAAGGGCCTTGGGCGACTGCCCCTTTTATTACCCACGCTTAGGGACGAGCCTGTCTCTACCCCCATCAATTTTAAACTGTAGGAGAAACTCGTACAATTCGGATCTTCGAAAAACAAATTTTGGGGGGCTTAATTAAAGTTTACAAAAAATTGGGCTTTAAATAAAAACTTTCAAATATTTTAAAAGGTTAACATTTTCAGAAAATTAAGGCATAATTATTTTATTTAAGGAAATAGACTTAATAAGAAATTAAAAGGAGGAAACTTAATTAAAAACATTCAAAATTTTGAAACACAACTAGGATTTTTTAAATTATGAACGACCAAAGAATTTAAAATTTTTAAGAAAATAAATGTTAATTTTTCAAAATTTTGGGTGGCTAGACCCCTTGGTTTTTTTTGGCCCATTATCGTTGGTAGCCTAATTATTTGGCCTGATAGGCCAACTCTGAATTTATTTTTCAATTTACGAAAAATGCTACAGTTCAATACAAATTCGTCACATTAAGGTGACGAGTTCGGTTTAAAAATAATTTTTAATGGTCCCAGGTCCGTAAGCCCCACATGAGTTAATATTATAATATATTTTCAAAGACTCGTCACTAGTCCTTCAGAAAGTTAATTTTTTTATTTTTTCAAATTCAATCATTATTTTAAAAATTTTTAAAAAAATAGGGAACTCATCACGTCGAGATGATGAGTTTGTCCTCAATTTAAAAAACAAAATCTAGTCATTTATAGTCGTTCTGCAACAAACAGCTGCAACAATCATATTTCAACGATTAAGGCGAAACTCATCACCTCAAGGTGATGAGTTCGGTGGAATTTTTGAAAAATATAGTTGTTTATAGTAGTTCGGTTTGTGGTTATAAATACAAGTTTGGGGTTTAGGATTTTTATTGTGTATTGTTAAGCAAAATTTGATAAAAATCATTTTTTTTGAAGTATTCCCAAAAAAATGTCTACATGAGATGAAATGTTACGCCTTTATGTTGTCTATATTTCTTTGGTCGAACTTGGTCCTGAAGAAGAACGGGGCATTCATCAACGAGGAATGACACTAAGAGATTTGTATTAGTGGATTATGTTTTATTTACAACAATTTAGGTTGTATCCAACTATATTTCTATGTGGTTTTAAGGTGACATTAATTTCGGCTTTGATTGAATGTTGCAAGCCTGAGACGCGTACTTTCCATTTCCGAGTGGTGAAGCAACGATTATGTTGGAAGATGTCGCTTACCAACTTGGTATTCTGGTTAATGGTGCGACACAAGTGAGGCAGAACGATTTCAACCGAACAGATTTTGGAAAGATTACCAACAGAGGTCTTAGACAGGTACTAGATACGCATCACTTGGTTGGAGTCTGAATTTAATGTAACTAACGACTCTATCGAGGAGGAGGTCATATTTCCAGTTCGAGCGTATATTCTCCAATTGATTAGACAAATATTATTATCGAATAAATCTAGAAATTTGACGCACATTCAATATCTTCCGATATTAGAGAATTTTATTGTGTATTGTGTTACCCTCTAAACCGACCTAGAAGAATTAGGTCGAATCTAGAGAGCTCAATTGAAATCTTTTTCCCTCGAGTAAACCATGTTTGATTCAAAACAAAAAAACAATTACATTATAATTAAAGAAACAATCCTCAAATTCAAACTTCATCATTTTATTAACACAAATGTTCGTGAAAAATCTAGTAGAAATAATAATTATTTACAAACATGCATAAAAATTCCAAAATTAAACATAATGTCCAAAGTCCTCAAATAATATTAATAATGGTAATAATAATAATAATAATAATAGTTCTGAAAATAAATAAATAAAGTACATAGTGAAAATAATAGTTCTTCGAAAAAAATAATGATGAAACCCTCAAAGTATAAGCTCACCTAATTTTGAGTATCTAAAATAAAAGCTATGGGGTTGCAAGCTATAAAACTTAGTGTGCCTCTAAAGTGCAAACAAACACAAATCATAACATAATCTGAATCAATCAATAGTAATCGTAGTACAAATCAAACAATGATAATTGTAAATTTGAATATTATGCAAATGTTTATGTACCCACCCGTACTCCTGTCAAACTATCCGAAGAGTGGGTTCCCCAGAATTACACTACCTATAATCAAATCACGCCATATGAAGTGGGATCCACCACAAAGACAGAGGCCTCAAAATCTGAAAGTGACATTCACTCTGTCGAGTATATACACTAAACTTCCTCTATCAAAATTCGTCCTAACATGACATGCAAATGACATACATATATGATGTCTAATCCTATCCGAATAACAATACTTCATAACAAATATTTCGAAGCATATATTTCGATTCCGATAATTCATCATACTGACATAATACGATGCACAACAATATTCCAATTACGACAATTCAACATGTATCACATGGCATTTTCACATTTATCTCAATTGATTTCACTACATGCTTCCAAACAATTTCCAACCAAACAAGTCATTAAGCATTCAAACAAAATAATGTAGCACCAAATAATGAAATACACATCAACAAATAGTTAAGGACGATAATAACCTTTTATACAGTCAGCCCAAACAGTTGATCAACTCGAATCAAAACTTTCGAAATAGTTTAAATAAATAAATTACTCTAAATTAACAACGAAGCCAAACATACTAAAAAAATAACAACTATAACTCACGCTCAATATGAGAAATGCGATTCGGTTCGAAGTTTGCGGATAACGATGGAGGATACAGTAACTCGGTTCTTGGTTCGATTTATCTTGTAAAATTAACAACGTCCGATTCAAACCCCAATTCAGTAATCTCATATTATGAAATAATAATTTAACGAGGAATTAAAATTATTTCTGACTCTGTCGGGGAACCGACAGCGTGTTTAATTCGAATATATTGGACTGTCGGTATATTTAAACGGGACTGCCGACGATAAAACTTCGCTGGTAGTAGTTCCATGGACTGGTGAACTCAGACTGACCTTGTCGTGACCTTAAACAGCCGGCCACCACATGGCAACAGGCGGCAGCACCTAAGCAGAACCAACAGGGGGTTTTCACGGCTAAACAACGCTGCCCAGCCGCGACCCAGGCCGTCTGAGCCTTCCCCCAATGACCTGACTTTACCACGGCCATAAACGGCTGACACAAGGCCATAATGGCGGCAAAACAAACCAAGCTCGCGGGTTTCATGAACCAGTGATGTTCAATGACAATGTCTAATGATGGGGTGACATCGAGGCTCTTGGGACGATAACTGACGACTTACCTTGATGATCGGACGATGGTGAAACGATGAGACGAGAGGACAACGACGAAGATTGAAACAAAGCAGAAGGAAAAAAAAAAAGAAAAAAACATGGAGCCACGATCGTGTAAAATAAAAAGGGGTAAGGATTGTGTTATAAAAGAAAATTGTATAATCACAAGGTTAATCCTTGCATTTCCTACGTTTTTTAAATTGGCCCCAAACTATGCATTCTTTGCACAATATTCACTAGAATTATTGTCAATTCA